AAAAAATCAGAAAATTATGATTTCTGATTCCAACCAGGAAGGATCAGACAATTCTGATTCCAAATCGAAAAAAATCAGAAAATTCTGATTCCAACCCGGAAAAATCAAAAAAATCTGCTTCCAAATCGAAAAAATCAGAAAATTCTGATTCCAACCCGGAAAAATCAGAAAATTATGATTCCAAATCGGATAAAATCAGAAAACTCTGATTCCAAACCGGAAAGAACAAAAATCCGAAAATTATGATTCCAAATCGGAAAAATCATACATATATATATATTATATATAATTTCAAATTTCCAAAATCAGAAAATTCTAATTCCAAATCAGAAAATTATGACTTCAAATGTACAAAATCAGAAAATATCAGAAATTTATGATTCCAAATCAGAAAATCCGAAATATGTGTTCAACACTCTTGAATCTGCATTATTTATTGCAAATTTGAGTGTTGTGAACACTTAATACGGGTTTTTCTGCTTTGGAATCAGAAATTTCTGATATTTTCTGATTTTTCTGATTCGGAATCAGAATGTCTGATTTTTCTTATTTGGAAGCAGAATTTTCTGATTTGGAATCATAATTTTCTGATTTTTTCGATTTGGAATCAGACTTTTCTGAGTTTTTCCGAGAAGTTCTGATTTCGCTTTGAATTCGATTTCAGAACAGAATTTCAGATGTGAAGTTAAACATTGAACTGAGTTGATGGAGAGTTGAGTTGATGGCGATAGAGATCTTTGTAAGCATCATTCAATATATTTGTCATGGTTTTGGATTTGGATTGTACATAGCTTGGAAATTGAGGTGAGAGACAGAGAGTTGGAATATATTTTCTCAGATCTGATAAGGGGTCCGGATTCTTTTTATGCTTGAAATTTAAAACCATACAGAGACATTCAAGATATCCAATGTTGAAAACGATTGATTATACTATTTGCAACTTTTTCTTTGCGCCCTCGGCGCAAAGAAAGGACCCCTACTGTGCGAGGAGCTGGCTTGTAACCCCTTTCTGAAAACTACAAGCTTGTTCTATTGGTTTATCTTAGTCTAAGTATGTCTTAGTCATGAGCTGTGAGTCGTTCGTGGGAAGTCGTAGGATCCAACAACAATAACACATATATATTCTATGTAACAAGTACAAGTACACAGCACAGCACACTGGAATAGTTCTCTTGGGCGATAATGATGATAATGTGCAATTTGAGTTCACAGTTGTCACCTTTAGCTAATATGAATCTTACCCTATCATCATCACCAGTCATCCGTGCAACAACAATCGAAAAAATAAAAAGAACAGTTGTCCAGTTGTCGGTTGTTTGCAAGATGTATTTTGCAAAATTCTTGCACTTGTCTGCCGCGCAAAGGGGATTCTATGCAACTGGCAGAGTCACAGATGTAGTTGTAGGTTTGGACTAAAAGACAAGACGTTCTCATTTTCTTGAAAAGATGCAGCAGTCATCCGTTGCGCATGTCGATGGAGGATTCATGCAAACACACTGGATCCACTGGATGGGGTCACATATTTTGGACATTTCTCAGGCATCCCACGTGGGAACCCAATACGTGTTTTAAGTTTTAAAGTCACTTTTGTTTTGAAGCCATACAGTTGAACACTTCTGAAGTGGCCACGCACCTAAAGTGAGGTTTGATCACATATGCAGCACCCTAAGACCCATACCCGGCTGGCCGAACCAATCCTCGGAGAAATCCTTTGGCCAATAAGTGTTAAAAAGTCTTGCTTGGCCAAAACAAGCCTACAAACGCATCGGAAATTTCCACCATAGCCTGAAAACACATATTTAGGGCCCACGGGTCGAAATTTATGATTCCAGCCCGCGCGCAAAATTTAATAATGGTCAGGAATCTATTGGTATGTTGCGTGGTCCTTTCCTCACTTACAATCTTCTCCCACCTTCTTCAGTTCGTGACCTTTTTGGAGTCCCATCCACATACCCTTTTTACATGGCCTAACTAAGTGACCTCTTAATGGATCAAGTTCGGTCACGAACTGAAGAAGCCACCTCTAAGGTGCGGAGTGGTGGCTTCTCACCAGGCCTGGCCCAACCAACCTCACCGACCTCCAGACTCTCCAAAGCTCAAGGCTCCAACTGGAGCGTCACAGAGGTCCCCACAGGCTCCTTGATCCAAAAGAAGGGCCGGCTCGCACCTGTTCGAACCCGAGCTGGACACCGGGTGTCCACCGGCCGGATCGAGCGGATGGCGAGAAATGCCAGGAAGTCCTATTTGTAGAAGGCCCTAGTTCGCCTATCCCAGTTGGGTACCCCAGTAAGGTCCTAGTTCAGGTCACTTAACCTCTTTTGGTGTGCAGAAGATCTTGGTGATATGTCAAACGCCCCAAGGCTCAAGAGCTTTTACAATCCATGCCTGCCGGCAGGTTATGAATCAAGATTCTACCTTAATAAAGGGTGTATCATGTGAAAAGTGAGGAGTGGCCGGCTGCACCAGATTCTCCTCACATTCTTGCCTGCCAGCTTTGGAGAACCATCTTGTGAAGTACCTGGCCTTGACTCAAAAGCATAAATTTAACGAACTATGACCACTCTGCTCTCCACATGTTGAAATGCCTTATATAAACGGCTCTTCTCCCCCCCCCCCCCCCGTTCCACCCACCCCCTCGCCTCCACGGTGCACCCTCACGCGCACAAGCTCCCCTTCCCGGAGCCCAAGCTGCGTCGCTGCACCACTGGCATCGGGGAGCAAGCAGAAGCTCGGATCGTCCACCTGGGCAATGTGAAAGAAGCTCCTGCCGCAACGTGGGAGCTGTGTCACTGCGCTGGTTCTGGGGTGTGTAGACGGAGCCTTCTAAAGAAGATCGCGCAGGTCATTCGAAAGATATAATTGTATAGTCTACAGAATTGCTGACTCAACTGGCTTGGAGCTGGGCTAGTGGTTGAGTCACCCAGGATTTGCTGAGCATGTTGTAGGGGAACAGCCTCGGAGAGTAGGGTCGTATTCTGTGATGTCCTATACAACCATGCACTTCCCACCGTCGAGCCAAAGGTGTCTGAAGGAAAGTGCCACGAAACCCGCCCAACAAAATCTTGAGGGACCCAAATCTGCAACCTGTTGAAACTCTGTCGTGGGGAGTTTGTGCAGTCAGTTTGGATTTCCGTCTCCTGGACTTCGAAGCTTTCCTCCTCTGCCCATCTTGGGCAGATGCGCCACTGCCACCTACATGGAAGTTCAGCGTCACACGCCCAGGCATCTGCAGAGGCTGCTGAGAGAACCGGTAGTCCTGGCCGCATCGGGGAAACGTGCCCAAATCGCCAAGGATGGCGATCAGCGGAGGGCTGCCCACAAGTTTCTGAGCTCTTATGAACATGCATGAAACCCTCAGTGTCCCAGTACAATGAAGTCTGATATACTACAGTAAGCATATATATATATATGTATCGCAAATAACTATGTAACAGTCTAACCTTTTTCACCCGCTTATGCCTAGTGGGGACCGCCAAACCCTCCAAAAACATGAAGGCCATCATAGGCCATCCACTTTTCCCAGAACAGTCAAAACGCAGCCGGACCTGGCAACCTCACATCATCCATCATCCTCCCGATCCGTCCGAACCCCTCCCCCAAGCCCCAGCGCCTGGCGTTCAGCATCCCAGCCAGTGGCCTCGGTCAGCAACACCCAGCGCGGCAGGGCCATGACACACGGCGCCACCTGCCGCGCGGAAACGAGCCGAAGGCGGAATGTGCCGGGTGATGAGCAACCCCAGAACTCCCACAGAATTCTCTTCTTGCGCTGCTTTGCGCAAATTTTTGGCAGAGTCATTAGCCCAAGACACAAACGGCCACCCATCGTCCATCCGGTCCTCCACAAAGGTCGCCAGGCAGGCTCTTCCCACATGGCGGCCAGTGGCTACATCGGCTACATGACCACCCCAAAAGCTGCCTGCTTGGTCACTTCAAGGAATCGGTGGGCACCCTGGCACAAACGAAGCATAACCATTCCCCCAGCTTTCTGGATTCACTGGATTCCGGATGTTCGTGCACCCTTTGGATCACACCAATGGTTTGCGTCCACGGCGAGTTACTCGATGACGTGCGCGATGACTGCATCAAAGAGCCAGTGTTGCACTGGGTTACATACATTCACTCTGAAACGCTCGGCCACCCATGTGCCGCAATGCCCATCTGCCTTCTCAAGGTCCCACCAGGTCACACCACCCTCCTGCCCTGCCCTTCATACATCTTCACACCTACAGCATCCAGCGGAAACAGGACAGTGTCACACCTTCCGATACAGCCTAACACCCTACCGTTCTTTTTCCGAAAGCGGATCTTTGAGCCCGAAAGCTGCGAGGCACCGCCACCTACATGGAGCCACCTGCCAGGTGGAAAACACGGTGGTCATGTCCTGACCTCTCACGCGGTCACCACGCGGTCAAAAAGCGCCAGGTGATACACACAAGGCGTCCTGCTATGCCTTTCCCATATCAACCTCGCTGAAGTCATAAATGTTCATTGGTTGGAACGATTGCATGGCGAAAGCCTTCATTGCCTGCACTGCTTGTGCTGGCTACTCCTGCTGCCCCCTCCACCTAACCATCCCTCTACGAAGATGAAAACTTTGGCTTCCCAGCAGGTGGCACATGACGGAAACTCCGAGGGACAAAACATCACCACCCAAATCATTCCCCCAACCTCCCCCAACCTCAGATTTGCTAGAAGTCCAGTTCGACCATCTTTGGCCCCCCCCCACCCGAAGTGGAGGACAATTCGGAACTTCACGCTGCATCCACCGAGTTTCGAGACCTATAGTCAGACCATGTTCCTTTAACGATGGTCTGACATGGACTCCCAGGCTGTTCACCACGCACAAATCCTCCGTGGCTTTTTCGAAATCCCCCGCCCATTCCGCCCCAAAAGAGATTAAACTCTTCCTTCCCTTCGGCCAAAAGGTGTCCACCCTTCGCCCCCAAACTCTTCGCGCCCGCGCCGTCCCGCCGCCTGGCCCCCCCCCGGGTGGCCCGGACGGTCTCGATCACGCTCCGCGTGCGCCGCAGTTCCTCTCCATGCAGTTCCAGAGGTTGAAGAACCCTATACCAGGACCTTCCAAATCCGGTGGTTTTGGGACACCCCCTTAACCTCTTCAGAGGCTATTTATAGACACCTCTTGGAAGGTCCTGGTAGACTATCCCATGGGTACCCCAGTGGGGTCCTAGTTCGCGGTGAGTGGAGCGGGGAAACCGCGGTTCCGCGGTTCCGGTGCACGGTTTCGCGCGGCGGTGCACGGCGGGGACCGGGCCCCGGTGCGCCGAACGTCCAATATAATATGACATCAACTCTGGGCCAGGAAGGGAGTGAGAACTTCTTCTCTTTCGGTGCACAAGAGGATCGCCACCCATAGCCCCTTAGGCCGGGCCCAATCCCGGAGGCTTTTGGTTCAACGTGCAGATACAAGGTCCTCGCACCGAATCGTTGGGTGTGAAATGAACCTGGAACGTCCCAGCTGCTTCCGTTCGGGGTGGCCTGGCTGGACAACCCATACACTGTCTATTGGTCACCAGACAGGACACCCAGACAGGAAGCCGCGACAGGTCTGTGTTCAGTGCTGTTGATAGTGTTCGGGTGAAGCCTGGGGCATCGATGCTGTAGATCGGCGTTGTTGAGGGAAGATCCTCTGGCCTCGGACGACGCCTGAGGTGTGGCTTCCAGAAACTTCCTCGGACTACGCCAAGGCGAAGCATTCCAAAAGGCACCCCAACATACCCCAGCCTCTGTTTCCAAGTGCATACATGCATCGTGATTCTGTACGTAGAGCGTGGCTTCTCCACAATATAACCCCTTCATCGTGTGAAAAGTCTTCTCCCCCCTGCTGCTCATCTGCCTCTTCGACAGTCTATCCCAACAATATCCTCTACTTATGGCCATAGCCTTCGAGGACTATTTAAACAATGGTTGACCCTGTTTTGTAGTACAGTGTTAAATCCTTCAACGATGGTTCTTCGGGATTCCGCCTATTGAATCCATGGTGGGCCAGGAATCCTTAGGGTGCATGAGTTCGCTTGATGAGGCGGGCGCATCTTCTGAGGCGCCTCTTATGTGCGCCGCCTGTGTGCGGTGCGGCGCGCCTCCTGGGCTTGCTCGTACTTCCCCAGTTCCAAGCACTTCCGGCAGTTCTCGACCTCGGGCAGCTCACCACCACGCCATATTCAACATGAATCAATATCCAAGCCCTCCAACAGGTGGTTTTTGGACACCTCTGAACCTCTAAGAGGAAATCTATATTATAGACACCTCTTGGAGGGTCCTGGATGATATATGTTCGATCATGAAATGTATCTAAATCCACCCCTGTCCTAGTTGATATTCATCACACTACTCATCAAACCAAGAATGCTTTGACACAGCTTTTCTGGGAGTTCCCGGAACGTCTCCACCCCGGACCGCCAGGTCACGAAGGGTTGGGCAGGGTGCCGCGAGGCAGCACCACCACTCTCCACCTGACCAAAGGCCGACGCCGTCGACCGTCGGCTTTGGCTCACACACACGCACTACGCACTGGTCTTGGCTGTCTCCCGCCTGGTCCTCGGCTTTCCGGGTTTGACCGAACTAGTGCCAAGAGAGGTTAAGAGACCTTATAGGACCCTACTGGGGTACCTAAAGGATGGTCTATAGGGTTCTTCAAACCTCTGGTGGTGGTTTTGGTAAGAAATCCCTTCTAAACCAAGTGCGGGCTGTTTGCCATGGCTGTCAGGGTCGTGCCTTTCATGCGCCGTTTCCTTCGGACCGTCAAGTGTTCCGAAAATGTTTCTAGTCTAGAACCTACCGACCTGGACCACCCGCATCACCAACAGACTACCCCTAAGCCCTACCCTTCATGCAAAAGTTGAGTGGAGAACCCTTCAAGGGGTGCCTTCAAGGAAGAGCTTGACAAGCTTCTAAGTCCGGGTATTTTCAGTGACGATCCCCTTGGATGATCCTGGTGCTATGACAAGGGGAGTGGATGAGTCTCTCAAAAATGCTGGCAACTCAAATGCGTGAATAACTCCAATGAGCAAGAAACTCTGGTGGCAATCCTCTTGCTCAAAACAGGTTTTTCTTGTCCCTTCACCTGGCCTCTTGCCTTTGCAAGCACACGGTCTTTTTGAAGTGGAAATCTGAGGCTGATGCCGACCCCGAAACTTTAAACCTACCCAGAGAGGTTAAGTGACCTGAACTAGGACCTTACTGGGGTAACTGTGGGATAGGCTAGTTCGGGTCCTTCAACCTCTGTTGGTTTTCTGAATCTTTCACCAAGCAGCGTAGGGGTGCTGTTCCAGAATCTGCCTCGCGCATGCTTCGGCGCGAGCGAGTCGTAGCGAGTCGAAACGCATCATGTCTGTTCTTCCCGTCCGGATGGCACTGCCCCGGAGCCACGGGGATGGCGGGGAGCGGTGGTGGAAGGCCCCAGACTTGAGAATGGAGAATTCACACGTCAGGACTGGGAGGAAAGTTCCTGAGTCTCTTCTCTGAAGAAACAAGCCTTCAAGGAATGAACACCCAGCTGGCTGAAAAACTCAAAGTTCATCGGTTTTGGATGGTTTTGGGATGACCCCTCTGTGATAGAGTGATTCCTCAACTCCTTCAGAGAAGGGGGAGGAACAAAGCATAGCGCGCTATGTGTTGGTCTTGCTTTCCCAGGGTCTCAGGCCCGCCAAAAAACTCGACAAATAAACACCTGGACATTCCAGCTGTGATACAGTTTATGCCGTTCTTTTCGTCAACAAAATTGCCCGGGGCCCAGTGAGGCAGAAATTTCATGAATGTGGCATATACAGCTGTATAAATATAGCTTTACAAGTTGTGCACGTCCTCCAGAGGTTGAGAGACCTGAACTAGGACCCTGCAGTAGTACATATGGGATGGGCGACACCTAGAGCTGCTCGGCCTCTCTAGGGCGGGCTGAAAGCCTGTGACATCACAAGTGATTCGAAGAACTGGTCGCTTGCGTCCCGAAGTCGCGCTGCGCATGCGACCAGGACACTGGAGCTGCGCACGGACCGAGGCCTCGATGATCTGCAAGCTCCTGAGGCTTCGAAGGTCAAAGATGACACGCGCGCGCGTTGTTTCCAGGTATCAGGATCCAACTCTACAGGTCACCAATTGACCTGTTAGGGCCCTTCCCAACCCTCAACTGACGACCTGGCAGTGAGGGTGCTGGTATCAGAATGTATCCCCACCAGAATTGATCGGAATTGTCGGATGTTCCATGATGTTCCCCATCTTTTTCGCACTTCCTCGTACATAAAAGCGCCAGACACAAAGAAAAAAGGCTGCTGGGGATGTTGGCCCCCTCCACAACACCCCCAAGCAACAACACCACCCTCACGGCTTTGAGATCATTTCATATGGGGGTTGTCCAACAAAGCTCTTCTTTCCAGGGTCGTATCGCCGGCCTTTCGCGGCCCTTTCGCGTTTGCAAAAAACCACAGGTTTGATTCCACACAGTGTTGGTGGATCAGGTGCCATGATGAATGCTGAATGCTGTACAGTGTGCTAGCTCTTTCTCTTACAGCAAAGTGGCTGCAACAACTGTTCATGTGGCCAAACTTGCATATAACTCTTCTTCCAGGAAACTCTGGAAATGGATTTCTGAGTCTGTTTATGCGCCTATTATATGATATGTAAAGTAATGTACATGTAAGTCTAGGATTGCGCATGTCTTTCGCCGTCCTATCGCCGGCCTTTCGCGGACTGCAGTTTCCCTTTCGCGGAATGTTTGTTTCAACATGTTATCTAAATTCCTCTACTGGCAATAACGGACGACGCTCATATGTCTCACCACCCTCCAGCAACATGGAACACGTTCAATTTCGTCATTGTCATCATCTTTCTCTACCCGGACTCTACCCTCCCTCCCCCTCGTAGACCTGCCACCGGTTTGGAGTGCAACTCCCTGACACCTCCCAACCTTTCTTCCACACCCCAACCCATCCGCGGGTCGGCTCCTCTTTGTCTCCAGCACCTTCGATGGCCCCCTGTCATCCGCCGCCGGCGCGGCCCCGGCCGCGCCCGGACGCGGGGCGCCGGGCGGCAGTCCGGGCGGCAGTCCCGGCGGCGCGGGCGGCGCGTCTTCGCAGCCGAACATCCAGCTGATGAACTGCTCATAGGTGACCTGTGCGGACGGAACGTGACTTTCGGAGATTTGCCATCCAAGTTCTGGAGAGAAAGATGTAGAACATTCACCGGAACGGGATTTTAAATAGGGTGCAATAACATGTAGTTTTTAGCAAACCAGGAGGAGAACCAGGAGGGGTACATATGGGATAGGCTAGGGCTGCTGAATCGATTCACTTGCACAAACTTGCTCCCACGCTCCAGCAGCTTGGAGCTATGACCACCCTACTTGCACCCTACCGAACCGCGCGGCGCTATCAAGCCGTGAAGTACGGCCCGATCGCGCTCGGTCGGTTTTGGCATGAAGAGTCCTACAGAGGTTAAGTGACCTGGGACCCGTCACCAGGAGTACCCAACTGGGATAGTCGAACTAGGGTTCTGACCCACCTCTGCTGGGTACGGATGCAGAACCGATGAGTACAGGCAACTGGCAGGACGGGGCAGCCTACCGTCGTCCTTCGTGCCTAGGCGGCAAGCGTCCCATGGCCCGCCCACGTAATACAGTAAAGGACGAAGCGAAGGACCCAGGACCACAAAGCTGCCAATGGAAGCAGGTAGACCCTCCAAGGAAAGAAACCGACTCTTGAAGTTTACTGGTTCTGCATGTCTTCTTGGGCCTGACCATGGACTTACTGAAGACATGCAGAAGTTGACCTTGTTGGTTCTGCGTGTCTTGTTGTGTTATATATATATATATGGTCATTGGTCCATGAATATCTCAATGGCTTTATCACCCGAAACAAGGACCTGATTGATAGAGTTTTTGACCACACGACCAGTCTGACCAGCGGCCACCCTTCGAGCCTTGCCGCTGCCATTGGACGCCGCTGCCACCATCCCTTTCAAGCGCCTGCGGATGGGCAGAAGCGAGCTGGTTCTTGGCCATAGAAAACCAGAGGTTGAAAGACCTGAACGTTCGGACACTGGTCTGTGGTACATATGGGATGGGCTTCTCAGGCTGTTCAACCTCTATTGGAAATTCGTGGTTCTGTGTATCTGTCTGTGATCGAATTTTGAGCCAAAGGGGTGGTTTGATGCACCCTCCCCACGTTGCGGCTGTGGAACCATGCGTGAAGCCCTTTGCCTAGTCTTCAAAAACCAGCAACAGAATGGTTGCCGTGTCTTTTGCAGTGTAAAACCCTCCGTGAAACAATGGTTGCTGGGTGAAGAATCCACTCACAAAATGGCTACTGGAACCCCAAAGTGCTCTTTGTTCGTCCCCAAAGGGGAGAAAAAACCACCGGAACCCCCGTGGCACCCCAAAGCGATCCTCTCGTTGTCAGGTCTTCAGATCCGAGCAAAGAGGGCCCCGCAGGGGAGCCGTTCGGTCTTCGTCTGGCACAGCTCGCAGCTTTCTGGGGCCTCTGGCTCATCACTGAGTTCCACTCCCAGTGCCTTCAGCAAGATTTTCACCTGCAGGATTTTCACGGGAAAACACCACCGGGATGAGTTGAACGAGTTGAAATCCCGAGTGGAAAAACACACCGACCATGGTTGCTGACAAATGCTCACGCCCAAAGCCAAAAGCACCACGTGCCATCACAACCCAAAAACAAGAAAAATATGCACACCAGCAGGCACAAAGCGGTTGTGTTTAGTCCCTAAGTGAGTGGACAATGGGCACCCCTAACCTCCATGGATCGCACCCCGTCTTGTGACTGCTAGCACAAAGAACGATTGGTTCGGGAGACCTCCGGAACTGAAAACATCCAAATTCCAGGAAGATCACGTTCGCACCCGCCCCACACACCCACATCACACACAACCAGAGCAGACCAACACCAAGACCCGCCGCCTGGCCCTCGCTGAGGTCGTTGGACTCGGGCAGCGCGGCGCGGAAGGCATCCAGGATCCTCTGCCGCTGCTCTCGCAGGGCCCGCCTCATGGAGCGTCGACGTCTTGGGGCAGGGACCAGGGCAGACGGGTCTGGACGGAAAAACCGGGGGCAAAGGGGGAGTGCCCTACCAAGAGAGGTTAAGTAGTGACCGTAAATAGGACCCTTATTGGGGTACCTATGGGATATAGGGTCATTCAACCTCTGTCTGTTGGTAGTCTCAGGCAGGACAGTCATAAAGTCGAGTTCTTTTGACTTGTATGTTGCTTGGCTTTACAAACAGCACGGGGGTCCTGGTCTGAGGCGTAAATCGTGTGTATTCTTTTAGCTGTTGCTTTGTTTTGTGTTCACGATCTGTCATGTTCTCTGCTTTCCCAAGAATTAGCTTGAGACCATACGGAAGAAACCTGGGCTCCTCCTTCGCGATTGACGTCTTTGCAGCCAAGTGGCGGGTTGGGAGTCGCCATCTTTGCTCAGCGTCGCACGCTTCACGCGCGCCGCGCGGCGCGCGCCGCAGAAGGGACGCGAGTGTTCGAGCCTTTTTGGGAGGGCCGGCCAGAGGGGCTTGGCACAAAAAGACACACAAACAAACAAAGAGCTCCGAAGTTCTAGCATGAGAACATCAACTAAGATCTAGAACCTGCACTGCAAACCGTAAAAGAAGAGGCCCAAAGACACAGCGTACTTGCCTCTTTTTGCGTATGCGGAGCCGTATATTTTTGTGTGCGGAAGTGATGACTTCATTTTGTTGACGTTCACTTTCACGTGCGTTCACTCTTGTTTGATGCCCTCGCCACATCCTCCATGAAGACTGGTTGTCGGCCTGTCTCTATGCTAACACCTCTCGGAGGGAAAAAAAAGGAAAACCTGCTAAAAGCCCCAAAGCACCTGGAGTGAAACAGTTCTAAACTCCGACGAACACGTCGCATGGAAGTGGAAAGATGGCTGGGCTCTTGAAAGACCATTTTCCTTTACAAACAGATGGTGGTTTTCCACTTCCATGTTAAATGATGCTAGATGTTAGTGAGTCGGAGGGTACGCTGTTTCACAACCCTCTTGAACCAGCCCACGCCGTGGATTGTCGCTGTTCCCCGCTGCCGCTCCGGGCCGCCGTGCATGCGTTTTCTTTTCGCGTGTCTTCTTCGCGTCGGCCGGCCCAGGGCCGCAGCAGCAGCGCTGAGGCCAAGAAGTGGAGTCCATCTTAAGGGGAGAAGCTGAGTTGCCTGGATCTGACCTGTCTGCCAAATGGTCTGCCTCACTAGTGGCTGGCTTCTAGAAATGCTCATCAAGAGTCTGCGCTCAACCTCCTTGCAGCTACCAGGCTGACCTCTCTGTCACACGCGAGCCTAACTTGCTTCAAGCTCCGGCTCAGTTTCCGGTCGTTTAGAGATCCTGCCGGGGACACAGCGCTCAAATCCCCAGCGGTGGGGTTTTGGACTGGTGTTAGATGAGGCTCGGCCTAGATCCCCTAGCCTTCCAACCACCCTTGCTCTAAGGGGGCGGCTTTACCGAACAACCATTGAAGTGACACTGCCAAATCAGGGTCAACCCCTTTTCTGCCAACTGATCTTGAATAGGCTTGGGCAGCCCCTAGGCCCTACATGAACGCCCCGAAACGCGTCGCACCCCTCCGGCTGTTGCGCACCGGGCACGGTGGGTCTTGCAGGTCCGGCTCGGCACCGGCCTCCAGCCGTTGAGCTCTTCGCCTCTTCGGCCCCTCTTAAGGCGTCTTGAGTGGCGTCTGAAGGCGTCCCTACCAGCACTGCACAGGTCACTACCTGCGACGTTTTTCAGTCTCCAAAGCCACCATTTCGGAGACCTGTTGGAGGGTGCTGGAATAGATCTTTGGAGATCTTTGGGTCCTTCCCAAGAGGAACCAAGAGAGGTTAAGTGACCGTAAATAGGACCCGTCACCTGGAGTACCTATGGGATAGTCTATAGGGTCCTTCAACCTCTGTACTCTTTTACTTCCCTCGGGAAAAATATCTCTGGACCCTCGGAGTCCAGTGATATTAGATCTGTTCCACTGAAGTGAGGAGAGAGAGAGAGAGGAGGAAAAAAACAAAGGTATACGGAAGTAAATAGATCATAATAGATAAAATAATAGGTAACAAAGGCAAAGTACTTTTCAGATCACCCAGCAGAAATTAGATCATCATAGATCCAGTCTGGTCCACGTCCGATCGCTGAGCCTCGAAACGGGTCTGTCTTCCCGCCTCTCAGGCACGCGAGAGGCACGCTCGACCAAGGCAATCACCTGCGCTCGACCGGAGAGCGGGTCGCTCTCCAAGCGGTGTCGTGTCATGGGGCTGCCGGTCGGAGCGTTTAGGTGAGACCTCTAGGGCCCGTGGTCAGAGGCAGCAGGTCGATCGTGTCGTACGTACGTGGTGCAGGTGTTCAAAGACGGCATGTGAGTCGCCTGTGTCTCAGTTTGGGGCCGACTCAGGTTGGCCCATACCGACGCGAGGAGGGCGCGTACCTAGTTGAGTCTCAAAAACAAACGCGGAAGTCCACTGTGATAAGTGGTCGAAGCGACGGAGAGCAAGCATGAGCAAGCCCTTCCCGAACCCGGTAGCCCCATTTGTCTTCTTGAAGCCCCTGAACCCTAGAAGTCCAGTTCGACGATTTTCGGCACCACCCAAGTCTTCAGGAAGTTCCTATCGCCGTTCGTCAGACCGCTTGAAACATGGTCTAGAGTCTAGCCTGGACTCCCAGGGTGGATGGACTCTTTCCAAGTGTGTGTGCTCCGTCTACTTCCTTCACACCGCGTCGGCTTCTCGCCCCACGTCGTCTGGGCTTCGCCTCCACGTGCACGGTTTGTGGGAAGGAATCCACGGCCACCGCGCGGGTGGGGATGAAATCGTCGGCCTCCTCCTGGCGGGACAGCGCGAGGAGGTAACGGGACAGCGCGGTGTGTTCCGATTCGTTGGCCCCTGGTCTTTGGGAGAAATGGGGCGAGAACAAACCTCCTGGGGCTTGGAACTCCCTTGGGAGCTGAGCTTTCAACATCTACCAGGGGCCCGGGTTTCTGGGGGTGTCGAATTATAGCCCTTTAGATCTTAGAGGTGATTCGAGGTATCCATTCACCACCCCGAACAGGCGGGCCCTGGTATGCTTCGCCCTCATGTGGAAAACCTAGAAAACGACCCAAAAAAGAAGAGGGCCCGGGAGTTAACTCAGGGGGCCCTCAGGGGCCCAGGGAGTCAGAGGGCACTCCCATGACCATGCACCTTAGAGTTTCAAGTCGATGGCGCCCAAAAAAAATGTCTGTCTGGTGTGAACCACCGAACATGGGTCACTTCGTTGCGAACATGCCATCGAGCTCCTGAACCCAGACATGGAATCAAACTTGTTCATGTCCGGTTTGCACTGTCCTAGCCCTGGGAGTCAAAGTCTATAAAAGAATGGTCTGACTAGGGGAACTGAGTCTGGGAACTTCCTTTACTCCAGCCGGTCCAAAAATAGTCCAACTGGGCTTCTTAGGGCTAGCGGCTAGGTGTTCAAAGACACGTTCCGCAACCACTCCCGTTCCGCGTCCCACGTCCTCCGTGGAGGATCCCAGCTTCGCAATGTCCTGTCCGGTGCCGGCCGGGTGCGGACCGTGTGGTCCGGGGTTCCAAGTGCCAAGCCCCCTCCGGTTGACCTGGTTGGGTAGTGTAAGAATCGCATGTCGACAGTCAAAGAATGCTTGTTTGGTCAAGACGATGGAATCAATGGTGGGTCAGGAAGACTAGGGAAGCATCGAACCATAGAAATGGCAGAATGAAGCATAGAAATGAGCCTCAAAAAGGAATGCCTTGGAGCAGGCCCTTAAAAACCCAGCGCTTAAGAAGGTTTTCCCGTGTGCCGAAACCGTTGGACTCCGTTGGACCATGAAAACAGACTTCGGTGCATGTCAGGAAATCCTTTGGAAAACAGCTGCTTATTCGGCACCGTGGGGCTGTGGTTGTGCAAATCCCCATGGCTTCTTATGGCTTCTTGGCCCACCATGGATTTCATTGTGCTTTACCGAACAACTCCGAACAACCCTTGTTGCAGTTGGTTGTCCAAAAGGGGGTTTGACACTACAAAACCTGGTCCACCGAAACTCTTTGAAGGGTCTTGTCTAGGCGAACGAGACATGATCTGTTGGGCTGCTTCGGAGCCTCAAGCGCCAAACGGAACGCCTTAAAACTGGTCTTCGTGCATCCTGAGAGACATATGGGTCATATGGGTCCGCATTTTAACAGGGGAACCCCCCGAGACATATGGGGTTGTGGTCAGTGAAACTCCCTATTCTAGGACACACCCATATCAAATGCTCCTCGGCCATGCTGTCGGCATTGCAACCTCGCAAAGATCAATCCCGCGCGGCTTGGACAGCTAGGTCCCAGACTGAAGATAGTCATAAATTAATTTATTCTTAAAACAACACGTCACCACAATGACCACAAGTCTAAAAACCTCAAAATCTTGGTCGATCCTCATGTCGCTGAAACCCCTCTTCGTGCTTGCTCCTGTGTTGCCTAGGCAGATCCACCCAGCTCGGAAACCCAGTCCCAACCAGAAACAAATGGATACAAATGGCACGGGGGAAACCTCCGGTTCTGCTTCACCTTGTCAGCCCCCTCAAGGCCGCCACTGATGTACACGATCCGCGACACTTGCAGGCGCCTGAAGCGCACCGCGCACCGCGCCCCACAGTCCATCCGCCGAACGCGGAGGGCACGAGGCGGCCGGAATCGACCGGAAGGTGGCGCTGGGTCCAAGCATTCCCCTAGGCTTCCGTTCGACCGTTAAGAGACGGTTGAGATGGCTTTGTAGTGCAAAATCCTGAGTAAAACGATGGTGGCTCGGTAAAGCAGACTAAGTCCATGGTGGGCCAGCAAGCCTACGTAGGGGTTCTTGATGTGGCCACGACCAGCCAACTGCTTCATCTGCAAGTGAAACCCCACCTACTCAGGAGTGGGTTCACCCAAAGGCACTTGTTTCCAGAGATCTGTACTTAGTACTTGAGATGGTCGTACGCTAGTGGAATGGTTTCCTGGCATGGGAAGATGATGGCGAATGGATGGCTTCTCAAACATGGAGGTGTTGCTCCTCATCATTTCATGCACGTTTCACGGTCGATGGCCCTTTTCCCCCTAAACAGTGGTTGGCTCCTTCCCTCCGAACAGCCCAGCCGGTCTCCCCGCGCCCTCGCAGGATCTCCACCAATCGAGGATGCAAACCTCACTTCGCGGAGGCGGGAACGCCTCGTTTCCCGTGGACGTTCTTGCTTGCTCTCATTGTGTTTGTTGTTTTCTCCGATGTTTTTTGCATTATAATAATGGTGTGTTGCATGTTGATGCATTTTGCACTTCAATGGTTTTTAGCGCTCTCGTTGATTCTTCGCTTCGAATCCTGTCCACCAACGCGTGTCCGCCACTCAGTGAGTGAGAGATCCGTCTGATTGGCTCTTGCTCTCGCTCCACAAATCAGCTCACTTGGTGGAGTTCAAACAGAAAACCAAGCTGCCGCTGTTCGCTTGGCCTCAAGCTCACCCATGCATGTCCTTTCGCTGAAAAAGCCTTTCCCTGCAAAACTACAGGCTTTTGAAGGTGTGGCCACTGACCTCTCCATTGCGGCGCCAAAAATCCTCCGCGCCCGGAATGGGTTGTGACCCATTCCGGGCCTCCAATGTGTCTTGTACCGTCAATAGACCCCCTTTGGAGCTACAAAGTATCCCTGAAAGTCCAAGACTTTGGATGACCCGAAGTTCGGAATGTCCTTTACCACTTGCTGGTGCCCCAACCATCGTCGAATTGGACTAGGGCACTAGGGAGCTGTATCAATACAGGACCTCTCTCCACCGAAGTACGGCTCGGACGGTCGCACCTTTTTGGGCTCTGTGGACGGCCCCCACAAACGGGGCGGACTGAAGCCTCCACCTCGGTGTTTTCGAGGCCTCGATGTAACCAGGCCCCCTCCCAACTGCGCGGCACCTGGAGGGGGCGAAAGGTGATCTTCTCACGTCCTGCATGGGTTGGGCCATCTCTTGATGCTTGGAGTTCGCTGGATTGGCTGGCTGGCTCTGCCCTTGCCATTCAGGTTCTGATCCACCGGGGGTGCTAAACCCTAAAGCCAGCAGTCGGAGAAGCCTGGGATGTTGCTCCGAGTCATGGCTCATCAAGATGTCCCAACCCTTAACACGAGCCTTTCATCTTCGAAGAGCCCCTCTCAGAGACCCACGGTCTGGCCAGAAGAACCCTCTCTGCATACACAAAGTTAACGCACTCCTCCCAAGCAAACTTAGTTCCTCTACATACCAAGTTGACTTGCTTTGCCTGTCCTTAGATGATCTGCTCAGGGTTTAACCTTTGGGGTTTAGTAGTGAATGCCTTATGAACCAAGAATGCTGAGGGTCTAAGAGTATACCAAAAGGAGGTATCCCTACAGGTCAGTCGGACCTCATTTGACTGGATCCGGTCATGCGAAGCCAGTACTATTCGCTGAGGTCAAGGACCGGGTAAAAGAATTGTCCAGGCTGACCCCTACCTGATACACATCGCTCCAGCCAACCCCAGCAGCTCATCTCGCACCATCAGTTGTGGAGTTTAGCTTTTGACCCGCTGCCATCTGCCAACGGAATTTCTTTAGGTCATCTACCCAGTCTACCCATATCTACCCGTTGTCAAGCTAGCACCACGTCTGGGGACGCACCATCTCCAAGCCAATCCCTCACCGTCCGGACCCACAATCTAACAGGTGAAGTCTGCATTTCAGCCTCGAACGGAGACCTGAGAACCACCATCGTCAGGTGAGGTGAGACTTGTATGGGTCCCTAAGAGTGAAACCCGGTGACTTGATGGAGTTGTGTTTGGTTTTGGCACGACCACCCAAGAGAGGTAGCCAGTGACCTGAACTAGGACCCGGAAAACCTGGGGTACCTAAAGGATGGTCGAACTAGGGTTCTTCAACCTCTGGTGGACCACCAGTCCTATGGGCTCCTTCGTTCACCCACTTTCGCGCTTCCGCGGGATGGCCCACCCAGAACGCCCCCCAGAACGGCGTTGGACCACAAAGACGCAGGGTTCGGGAAGGCCCGGACTTGGTTTTGTCCTTCGAAACCCTTCGGTACAAAAACGGTTGTTCGGGATTCAACCCCCTTAGATCCATGGCTGGTCGCAAGGAAATCGGGGTGACATGAGCTGTTGTGACATCATCTTCTGCTGCGTCTGCGTCCATCCACGCCGGCACATGCCGGGGTCTTCGGAGATTGGTGTGGGAAAGGCGCCACAGCGAACGGTGAAAAAGCGCCACACGGGCCGATTGCGGTAGATCCCTTTCTGGCGATTCCGATACCTTGGTCTGTCCATATGAGGTGCCTCCATCTTTCTGGGAAGTCAGGGGAGTGAAAAAGAATGAAAAGGAGGGGATCTCGGAGTCGCTCTCTGAGGTTCCCAACCTTCAAATGGTTGACCTGGCTTGGTGGACTAGAAGAAGAGTTGTTTGGCAAAAAAATACTTCCGGATCCTCAAGGTAAATCACGGCCTGCAGGGAGCCAGACGAGGGGGGCCCTGGTAGTTGCTGTGATCCATTCAAAGGGCATGGAAATCCTGACTGCTTGGCACTCCGCGACGCCTTGGGACCTTGACTCTTCGTTTTTCATCCGACGTGTGGGTAAGTAATTTAATAGGTGGACCCCCAACCCATAGGTGTTGGTCCGTCTCCCCTCTTCAGGTCCTTTTCGGAGGTCTCCACATCTTAAAGAACACCCATTGTAACAAGTAGCAACCCCCCTAGCCTTCCAAGACCTTTAAAAGAAAGGTTCACCTGTTGTAGCGCAAAATTCCTATGTTAAACAACTGGTTCCTCGGTAGAAAACCCATGAAATCAATGGTTTTTCCAGCCCAGGGATCCGTGGTCAAACAGGTGCATGACGAAAGTGGGGACGATCCTCCAGCGCGGTCTTTCAGATCTTTCAGTGTCCCGTCGCCGAACGCGACCTGCTCGAGGCGACCTGCACTCACTGACGGTGCTGTGCACGGGTTCGCCGAGGCGCAGCGAACCAGGAGACCGTGAACCCTTACATGGTCCAAACAGGTTCCGAGAGTCCAAATATCCAACAGAGGTTGAAGAACCCGAACTAGGCTATCCTATGGATCCCCCAGGTGACGGGTCCTAGTTACGGTCCTTCAACCTCTGTTGGATGCTCCAAGAGTACCAAGTTCAAGTCCACAAACCATTGAATTGAACGAGCTCTGGGATGTTCTGAGTCAAAGTCGAAGCAGTTCTGAGACGGAGTTCCGAGTCAAAGTCTCCAAGTGGTGTTCGATCTTCTCATCGCCAAGGGAGGGGGACAGGCAATTTCATGTTTCACCAAATTCATCGGTACCTCGGTGAGTGGCCCCTGAGACTCATTGAGCTAGTGCAGCCACGTATGGTTCTCTGCATGGCCCTTTTGAGTCCTTGAAGATGTCGACCCATCCATCCCCCTCCGCGTGTAGTTGTTTCGATGCCCCAAGATTGGGGCTGGTAGCAAACTACCCGTGTCACCCAACTGGTTGCTGCGGAGCTCTGCATTCGGTGCTTGAAAGTGGGACCTGTTGTTGGTCCAAAAATTACCCTTAGGCAAAAAAACGAAAGAAGATGTCCTTTTTCCATCATTCACCATTCATAAACCACATCATCTCTTATGATCAATGGTTTTCACGCCTGTCTTGGCCTCTTCGATGTTTTACTCTTGAATTGGGCACGAGATCATGACCAGCTGGTCGCTGCGGAGCGGAGTCGGAGCGGAGTCCAACGGGGTGGTCGGTCCTTTCACCAATGAGTGGAGCTGTGGGCCACTGGTCTACACACACACGAGCTACGCGGCTGCGGCTACCATTTTGGGTGTCATCCATCGAATTCCATGGATACTTCGAGACCTTCTCTCATTCTCCGCCCGTGGCCGCAGCACAAAACCTCCTCCCCCTCCCCTGCCTGCCACCCTACTGGTAGCCCCAGGTGTGCGGCGTCGTGTCCGCTGCGTTGCTGTGCATGGCTTGCTGCAAGGCATGCAGGGACCGCATCCCCGCCAGCTGCCCGGACATCTGCCAACGCCAGAGCCACTGGGGAGCAGGGAAGGAGCTCGGCGGCAGGAAGATGTACCAATCAGCAGAACTCCTAAGCTCCAAAGGAGGGTTGGCACGGGTGTCTGTGGAATTTTTAGGCGGATATCAGGAATCTGATGAAGTCTTGGCCAAACTTCAGCGTTAGTGATTCATGTGTCCTTTTGCAGCATGTCACCTCACCTGAAGATGTTCCCCCACATTAATCCGAGTGAAGCATGCCCCCAGGCAAGAGTTTCCTCCAAAAACCAAACCCAAGTATGTCAAAGAGACCTTGTCGTAGGGGATCCTCACTACGAGAAGTACCGTAGCTACAGCGAACTCAGCTACCTTGCAGCTACCTTGCACACAACACTCCAACGTCTTCTTCTCCACGGCGCGGGCTGAAGAAGGAACTCAATTCTTGATCTGCATCGCTGAAGTTGCCCACTTGGCCATACTCATCCTGAAGCGTCCAAAACGCCCAGCGAATGCAGATGAACAAGTGGGGGAGGGCAAGCCTTGGAGAAGCAATTCTACGTTGGATACCATGCCCCCAGCCTTCCATCTGACCAAAAAAAGAAAGGTGAAGACCTTGGCCTTGCAGCCTACACTTGTAAAATGCAATGGTTGCCCGGCAATAAGAACAATTGTGGCCGTCTTGGGGTAGATAGAACATGGAAAAAATCTATTATCCCGGCAAGAGACCCCAAACAGTGTGTGAGGTCTGGAAGCAGAAAGTCTAGAGATCTATATAGATGCATTGGGGTCCAGAGAGGTGATGGTGGTGATGAAGTGAAGGTGGGTGTGAGTGAGTGTGGGTGAGAGGGAGTGTGAGTGAGAGTGGGAGAGTGGGTGGGAGTGCGAGTGTGAGTGAAAGTGAGTGGGAGTGAGTGTGGATGAGAATGAGTGTGGGTGAGGGTGAGTGGGTGTGAGTGCGAGTGCGAGTGCAAGTGAGAGTGGGAGAGTGAGTGTGAGTGCGAGCGTGAGTGAGAGTGAGAGTGAGAGTCGAAGTGTGAGGGAGTGTGAGTGCGAGTGAAAGTGGGGGAGTGGGAGTGGGAGTGGGAGAGAGCATCTGAGAGCACAAAGTACTGCCTGCCACGAAATCTGCACTTCGAGGTTCACCAAGCGCTCTGCCTGCCACGAAATCTGCACTT